AAGAGTGCTGAATATGTCATATTGTGCGATTTTTTCTATCATTTCGTCAATCCTAGGTAATGGGTAAGCATCCAGAAAAGTGAATCGATTGATTGTCTGACTATAATCAACTACCATCCTCTTTTTATGGCGTTCGTTTGACGTAACAAGAACTTGAGCTCGCCAAGGAGAATTAGAAGGTTCAATAACACCTTCTTGCAGTAACCGGTTGACTTCGGTGGAAATAAAACTTTCATCTTCACGAGAATAACGCCGGGATTTTATCGCGATCGGTTTACAGTCTTTTGAAAGATTTTCAAACAGAGTAGGCAGGTCGACGCGAACACAAGGTAGACCACAGAGAGAAAAAGGCGGCTTTGATCCCCCAAAAGGAATCTCAATGTGTTTGTGAAGTTTTAAAAAATCATGTCCAAGAAGGACGTCTGCACATAAATTATGAAGAATGGAAAATTTGAATAGATCATAAGTGTGGTTTTTATAGCAGATGGATAGAAAACAATGTCCTTCAGTATGACTAGTAAGATTCGTACTCGCCATTGTGATTCTGTTTCGAGACTTATGGACTTTCCAGTTATACTTACGAACAACTGAGGAAGAGATGTAGCTCTCACTGCTTCCGGTATCCACTAGAGCTTGCATTGATTTCCCATTGACAGTAAGCTGCGTAACAGCATCAGTGAGACTTTGAGGTGCTGAAGCCACAACGAGAGATGAAATTATAGAGTTAACTGAAGATGGACCTTTTTTCGTAGATGGCGCAGACCTGCAAACCTTCTGAAAATGTCCTTGCTTGCCACAAGCTTTGCAAACTGCATCACGGGCGGGGCATTTGGAACGAGGATGTCTACGATTACCACAGAAAAAGCATTTGGATTCAACGGCAGCAATGGTTGTTTCATTGACGGAGGGTGTGGAATCTGATGAATGAGGTACATCATGTAAAGAAATGGACGCGCAAGGTGTAACAGGATTGTTGTATGACTGCGATTGTTGATGTGCCATCTCTAGAGCTCGTGCTTGATCGTATGCCGCTTGAAAAGTTAAAGTACGCTGTTCTAATAGCCTCTGGCGTATCATCGAAGACTGTATACCTGAGATGAATGAATCACGTAGAGATTCGTTACGATGTTCTTCGGCTGTAACTGCCCTGAATGAACAATCTGTAGTCAGCGACTTGAGTCGACGAACAAACTGATCCAGATTTTCGCCAGATTCTTGTTTACACGTTGCTAACAAGTGTCGAGCAAACACTTCGTTGCAAGGCTGCATGTAGAGACTCTTGAGAGTGTCGATAGCTTCTTCGTATGTTTTGCATTCAGAAATGCATTCGTATACAGAAGTAGAAATATGATTGAAGAGAATATGTAGTTTCGAAGGATTTTCGGATCCCATTGATTCAATGAAGTAGGAAAAAGTCGCAAACCAGTGATCCCACTTCTTGGCAGCTCCAACTGCGTTAGGTTCTACGTCGAACCGATCAGGTCGGAAAAATCGTTCCATGAATATTGTAAAATGAATAAATTGTTACGAAGGTGACTGAGTCTTAGAACGATGAGTGATGCTTGAATCTTGAAAAGACGAACGAACCAAGAATTCAGGCTTTATTCATTTTACAATGAAGCCGGAATGGCTTAAACGTATAAAGGGGAAAAAGAGTGTTAATAGCAGTAGAGATATGAATATGATTAGATACGTATTATAAGAAAAGTTCACAACACAAACAAACAATGGTTCTATTATATTTCGTTGTATTTCTTATTAGCTGTGTGTACAAGCTTATTGTGGGCATTTTACACGCTAAATTAAAATATGTATGAAAATACTTGAAAATATAACTGGCGAAGTTCAACAATAGCGTCTCAGGAGTGCGAACGCTTCAATGACCCTGAACGCATACTAGTCGTTTTTAAGTACTGTTTGGACAATGTGTTAATAGCTCGTTAGGGTTAGGAAATAGGGTTAAGGTAAGTGTTGGGGTTAGAGTTATGATTAGGGATAGATTTACAGTTGATGTCATTTTCTTATCCACATTTTCCTAGTAAGTAGTCATCGATCCTCTTACTACAAACTATAGTAATTCAACCGAAGGCTTTTGGGGAAGACAGTACATGAGGATAAGAGAGACAAACGATCCACAAAAACAACTCATCTTCAGTCACCTTCGGTGAATACATGTAGAGAAACTTGTCTAACTTAGCAATTGATACTCCTCATTATAACTGGGATATATTTTTAAGTCATATCAGAGAAAGATACCTTGTTTAATGTATTTTCATGCATTTTCTTGTAAATATGCGTCAATTTTTGTGCAAAAATTCCTCATCTTTATGATTGGTCGGCTCAAGATCACTTATACGTTGGCATCACTAGGGAAGCTATTGTTGAACTCTGTCATATAACTTACGAATAGCGATGAATATTTGTTGTGAAGATGGTGGTCAATATTAGTCGTACAGTTCGCTCATTTAGTTGAACTCCTTTAAAAGTAGAATATCCTATTTATTTGTGTAAAAACAGTTGATTTAGGTCACTTATCTTAAGAAACACCTACCTATACACACTAAGTACCACATTTGCGCCAATGAAAAGCCCAAAATATAACGTAAAGTCTTAGATGAATTATTAATCATATTCATATCTAACAATCTCCGCGTTAACGAAGACTTCTCAGTGTCTGTGAGAAAATGTTGCACAGAAGTTGAGCAGTTTAACTTGACACACTCTTCACATATAGCACATAAAGGTAGAGAAAATAAATTCAAAATAACTTTAATGAACAGAAATCTATAGAAAGAAGAATGCGTATGTGGAGGACAACGAGAATTTGATGCATCTACTAGTTAATAAAGAGTAAATGAATTTGCACCATTGAAAACGATTTCGAGTCATTATCACCACCAATAGTCTCTCTAGCTGTTGGTTCCTAGCATTTCTACAACCAAAGTCAAGTGGTCTGCATCTTCAAGCGTGATTCAAGCCAAATAGCCAAAGACTTCACATGGCCTGATGTCATAGTTTGCTCTCACATTACCTCTCTCTTTTTTAACCTGATCCTAGATCAGCTAAGATCGCTCGATGAGAAAGGCAGTAACTCAGCAGGCATAACACGTATTCTAACCAACTCAATCGATATAGTTTCATAACCTCATTGCCTTTCTTATCTAACACTTCTACAGTGAACCTCAATATTACTCACCATGTTATACTACTTAACACAGGAGATAGAATGCAAACATCTGTCTTGAGGATATGTTAAACTTAAATGTAAATTCATATTGTTGTGAGTACTTGTATATTAGGTAAAATGAAGCAACGACACCAAAACATCACTTGTTTCAATAGTTTTAACAGTCAATAAACCAAAAGCAAATGAATTCTAGCACAAATCTACTGTGTTATATTGGTAACTGAGTTAGGAGATAATCGATTTAAAAAGACAATTAACTCAAAGTTTGTAAGTTCTTGAATTTCGTATAATATTAAGGCGGTCTTTCAAATAAATTTTTAGCGATAAATTTTAGGGATAGTATAATCGGTAAAAAAAATTTTAGCGATAAAGTATAAGTCCTTCTCTATGGCTCTGAAACATGACCAATACAAGTTGAACACATGAAAAGGTTGACTGTTTTTGATCATAGATGTCTGCGATCTCTTTCTCACGTTAGGTGGTTTAATAGGATAAGTAATGTTGACGTTAGGCGTAGAGTGTTGGGCAAACAGGGAAAATCAATCGACGAGGCTATAAAGTTACATAGATATAGAGATGGCTAGGTCACGTGGTGCGCATGCCTAACCATCGCCTCCCCCGACGGGCATTACTAGCTGATATAGGTGCAGGTTGGAAAAGAGTAAGTGGTGGCCAAACAAAAACATGGCCTCATCAATCCATGAAATCCTTGACAGTTAAACTGAGTCAGGTAGGGAGATGCAGACTTCCGGGTTGGGGCCCTCGGGACTCTAGAATCAATGGCTGGAGACAATAGGTGACATGGCTCAAAATCGTTGTCAATAACAGCACAGATGTATTCAGTCTCTGTAATCTTTCATATTCCTTTCTACCACTACCCGTTCTGTTTCACTCTTATACTTGTCAAACTCTATTGATTCTCTTCACTCATCTTCTTGCCTACCTCTGTGTGCTATTTGGAACGTGGCAACTCGAACTTCTGCACTTCGGTGGCAAGTTCTATGTTGAATCCAGACAGACAGATACAGTATAAGGTTTGAAACTTTATCAGCGTTTCCACTTATGTTTTAATGTCTGAAGTCATTAACTGTTATATTAACCTAATAAAGACTGAAAATCTTTAGCATAAACTTGTTACCAAGTAACATTTATCGGGGATACTACTAATAATACTAATTGGCTCTAAGTAAACCATCCTAGACAGAACACGTATGAATTAGTCGTCTACTGGTTCAAATTCGAGAACTTAGATCAGGCAACAACAAGTTCACGTCATATGACAGATTTCATTAACATTCAATGTGATGCTGCAATGTGATTAACATGAGGATGCAAAATTGTATTCCCAATGATAAAACTATTCAATCTAATAAATTTCATATTCTTTGTTTGGTTAGGTTTTTACCCATTGCTGTAATACCTTAGATATATCATTAAATAAATTATTGAATAAACGGTAATTAATAGCAAGACACCTGGGTGTTACTTTGTGGAATACCTGATAGCTCAAGATGGGAAAAACAATCCACTCCCATTTCTATCTAGTCACTTATCATCACACTTTAAAAGTTCGGTCACCAACTGAAATTAGCTCGTAAGCCATCCAGCCATCGGGACCCGACTGAATGGTTTGTGAATTCCAACTTTTACCTATTCGTGATTTTCACTGTTCCACGAAAATTACTCCACTAAGTGTAGAAGATGCTACACATCTTTCATCTTTATTTCAATTTCCACACTTAATAGTAATAATAATAACAACAAACGAAATATAGGTGTTACGATTCAAAAATGTATAAGTATTAAGTATTACCTTTATCTAAACGTAGTAATCGTATTCGATTGAGTTCAACCTGTTGTTCTTGATATGCCAATTGATCTTTAAGTTGATTATATTGATCAACATCTATAAGGAGTGATCAGACAGATAGACAGAAACAAAACAAAAAAAACATTAGGGTGGCCTAAATATCTCTTTTTTCCTCCAGAGAAGTTTATATTTAAGATAAAATCATTGGCATACTTTAAAGACTTTAAGTAATTAAAAAATATTTAAAAAAATGAAAGTTATCTGTATAAAATTTCAAAATGGAAGAACTTGAATACCTACGGATGGATAAGTCAATTTCATTAAACTCAAATACGAATTTTTTCTCGGAAGATTTATACGACGACAATATAGTTGACTAATTTATGAGTTGTACTGAAAAATGACCATCACTTATAGGCAAGCCAATACGCACACAACTTCAAGTAAGTCATATACGATGTTTATTCTTTTCAAGTTGTCAAACTTCACACTTATAACGACACAAGCTAAGGGGAGATTAGTAATTACTCAATTTTTTCACTGCTAGTTGATACTCATAAAGCTCTCGTGTTGTCCATTGACTAAACTGACCAATACAGTGATGTCATTTTCAGCTTTTACAAATAATTTTGCACATAATATTCATTTGTCTTCTTTATGCGACGGATTTATTTGGTTTAGACAAGATACTGTGTAGTGATGTAGTTGGTTTTATGTGCTACAAAAATACCAAACAGCTAAAGTAGCATTAAACATTTTCATAACTCATTTCTTTTAGTTAGCCTAACTCTTTGATACTTGATTCGGTACCCTAAGATGAAATTGTGTCAAGATAACCATTGTTTTTTGTCACTTTGTAGACGTAATTTTCTCTTAGTCATGTAGCTGTACTATGGTGTAACGATGAGTCATGATATTTGTCTAGATCTCATAATAGTGGTAATACTTAAACTTCGGTCTCGTACATTTCAGTAATCACTAGCTAGAACCAATCACATTGTATAATTATTTGGTAAATTTCAATTAACACATTTAAAAGTAGACATCAACTGCCGGATGCTGACAAATCTGAGTACATATGTACCTAGTACAACTCTCTTCTAATAAGATACTAAGTGTTAATTTAACATTGGATCTGTGTGCATCACCTTTCTAAACATTTGAGTTTATTGAAGTTCAGTTGTTGTTTTTTTAATTTATGCCTCTAAGAAGATATAAGAAAGTTACTTAGTTACTTTGTTCTACCTTTTTTTGTGAGATCGATGCATTTAGAGTTTTGATTGATGAGGGATAAATGTTATTTTCAAAGTATTTGTTCTAAAGATTGTATAAGTATTGTTACTGGGATAACGAATCTAAATTTTCAGCTTCAGTACTACGATGATGGCTTACTTTAACCTCTTCCACGAACAATCCCGATGTAGAATCATCCATAAGATTTCCTTTAGTTTGTTTGAAAATTTTCAAGTTTAAGTGGAAAGGCATATCCTAAATTTGTGAAAGCTTTACAGATTAGGAAGTTTAAACCAATTTTTAATCATATTAAACCTTCTCCTTCTTTGGTTTATTGATTTTCATTATTTTACCCTTCAATTTAGCCACTTAACTTGACCCTTGTTTATGCTCTCATCCCTTAATGCCTTACTATATTCTCCACATAAACTCCTGTAACAAGTACGTATGCGACCAAATGGTTAGAAATGTGCTGCGCGAATACATTACTCGATTCAAATAAATTACCTCTTTCTATTGTTTTGTCAAAATATATCAAAGGAACTAATTGTTTCCAAATGTAAATAGTTAAATAGATGAACAGTTAACATGAATGCTGGTACATTCAAAATTTGTAAGGCAAAAAAACAGATGTGATTCCACTGTCACGGTAATCAACTTTGGGCTATTTTAGGGTGTTTTGTCAGTGATTTTTATTACCTGCAAATGGCATGCATTGTGTTTTTGGTGAGACTTATTAGCTGACTACTGTCACACTACAAACTAGTAAGAACCGTATGATTTTCACAAAAACACTTTAACTACTCATTAGTAGTAGACATATACAACTATAAATCTGAATGGAGTTATTAAAATACAGTTTATCTGAAAAATGTAATGTATTTGAGCAATGCATTTAGAATAACCTGATTACACACTTACTTGTCAATTTAATTTATATGGAAAATGAACAAATGGAAGGTCATTTAAGGCACATTAAGTAGTAAGGGATTTGAGATCTTGATTTACAATACTACTGACAATACACCCAGATAAGACAACAATAGATTGTTTCTGTACATACATGGAGCCTTATTTTACGGATAGCTATAGCTTCAGCGAGCTTTAGAATGTGCCCATGACGGTTTTTACAGGTAGTGAAAGTTGTTTTGATATTAATTTTACGGTTCATATCAATAATGTGTTCTACTGTAGATGAGACTGGCAGTCTGCCGCCCGTATTTATCGAGGTTTTTGAGTTGTTTTTCAAGTCAACCCTGACGTGCTAGACGTGATTACTTCTCCCTGTGAATATATCCACACACATGTAAATTAGTATACAGTACGGGAAGTGACGCAATCATTTGTGCAACTTTGAAGTTCGTGGTGGAGCATGCTTTGGCTTTTTTTTCGATAATTATAGGCCACGTTGCGTAGTAAGTTTGAGAATGATGTAATTTGGTCCGCCTTAAAATCATCCTCATTGTAAATGAATGTCATACGGACATTTTTCTTCGGGAGAGAGTAAACCATAGGCTTTGAACTTAACTGTCTTCTACATTAATTCAAAAACTTCAAAGGATTTCGTTTTGGACAAGTGTATCAATCAATATTTTATTCTCACCACATGTCGCTGTATAGATACGCTTAACCTCTTAAATACGCATTTAACTAAGCCTCTTTTGCGTCGCATTATACAGTGATATGTACCCACATAATGTGTTTTGTTTGACAGTCTGTTCTTGGTGATATGTACCCATATAATATGTGTGTTTGTCTGACAATCTGATATATTTTGCTATGTATATATGGATCGATATTCCATTATAATTAGCCAATCATGTTAAGACTGTCTATTGATTTGTTCATTTTGGATATTCGCTCACACACTTGTTCGGACATTCATATATATTTTTGCTCTCACACTCTTGTGTGACATTTTGATTCTCCTGGTGTTTTGAAAAATAGAAGTATCATCGCAAACCTAGTGGTCTTCTGATTTCCGTCTTTCTTGCGTCAGGACTATTAAATTCTCGACCAGTACATAACATACAGACACTGTGAAAATTTAAATACTGTCCTGTCCAAGTAGGGTTTGTATAGATCGATCACTTCATTGAGCCATCCTCTCTCCAACTCAAAAGTGTGTAACTTTATTCGGCGAGTGTAAGGCTGGTGTAATTTTGAACAGAGTTAACTCTATCCAGTAGGCAAGTAACAATCTCCACAACTATCGCATATTACGATGAAATTATCTACAAAAAGGCAACTTAGGAATCAAGTTACCAGAGAGATTTTCAACGTATGACAATGGTCTTCATTGTCTCCCATATGACGCCATCTACTTGTCGAAAGTGCTCAACTTCAAAAGTGAGATGGAGGTTATCGATACACAAATATATTTTTTTCAAATGTATTAAATGAAAAGTGAATGAAAGACAAACAGTGAATATTTTATCACAAAGAATATCAAGTTTTAATTAAAACTACATTAGTAAACAGAAAGTACACATCAAATCTTTATGTCAGCAACTTCAAATGTGTCTTACTTAATTCATTGTGCAATGGGTTTAAAATACTAGCTGACGACAATGAAGCATTGACAGAATCGGGAGTAACAGATTGTCAATTCCATAAATCTAGGCTAATCCATAAAGGTTTGGAAAGTCCAATATCATGGGTTTTATAGGATTAGACTTTTCTTGGCGAAGTTCAACAATAGCGTCTCAGGAGTGCGAACGCTCCAATGATCTTAAACGCATACTAGTCGTTTTTAAGTACTGTTTGGACAATTGTTAATAGCTCATTAGGGTTAGGGTTATGATTAGGGATAGATTTAGAGTTTATGTCATTTTCTTATCCACATTTTCCTGGTAAGTGGTTGTTGATCCTCTGACTGCAAACCATAGTAATTCAACCGAAGGCTTTTGGGCAAGACTGTACATAAAGATAAGAGAGACAAACGATTCACAAAAACAGCTCATCTCCAGTCATCTCGGTGTATCCATGTGCAGAAACTAGTATAACTTAGCAACTGACACTCCTCATTATGACTGGGACGTATTTTTAAGTCATGTCAAAGAAAGATACCCTGTTTAATGTATTTTCATGCATTTTTTTGTAGATATATACTTAATTTTTTGAGCAAATGATTCCTCTTTTTTATGATTGGTCGGCTCAAGATCACTGGTACGTTCGCATCACTAGGGACGCTATTGTTGAACTTTGCCCTTTTCTTTACCAATAATACCCATTTTACAAAGTTTTACTAGATTAGAAGTTACTTTTTCCGCTGATTTTCTGATGTCACCAGATGGAAACATCCGCCATGAATTCGCCCTTATCATCAAGAATGGATGATACTTTCATTGGTGGATGGTAACTAGCAGTGGAATCCAGGATGGGTATTTCGTCCTATTCGGGACCCGTCATCTGAATACTTTCGTTTTACAGTCACATTATTCCATTACAACCACACATAATCCATTGTTAGATTTCAGAAATAACAATGTTAGATCTACTACTTATTTTCATTTCTGGGGTTTGAAATTCCTCAGAGTTAAGATGCTTTTTTTCTTTAATACCTGCATTACGGAATCGATGTGCCACATCAACTAATTTAGCCTTCAACCAATTTCGATTTCCTGTTGAGGTAAGAACCATAGGATTTGAGTGATCACAGAGATTTTCACGGTGTCTCTTTTAGAGATATTTTCCAAAGTAAGTGGATTAGCTTGGAAGTTTTTATCAACCTGGAAATTTAACTATTCAAATCAAACCGAATTCCCTTGAAGCCATTTACTAAGGTCTTTTAAGAGGCAGTCAAGATCGATTTGATAATGTGAATTCGTGTTTGAGAGTCCTTTACTCCAAGCAGTACGACCGTTTATCAACTCCCCGTAAATCCTTTTGGTAATGAAACGAAGGCAAACGGAGATAATTGTTATCCTTGAAGGATTCTTTAAAGCTTTTGTGACTCGGTATAGCTAACTAAGTAACTTCGCTACTAAATTTTATTATTTCACTGTATACGCTGGCTATGAAATTATTGAATTTTTATCAAAATGCGTTGAAACATCATGAACAGATATTTTCTCGTTGAGACTTCATACTTGAACACAAAAGAGAGACTTACCATGATAGGCTTGTTCACTACTAATTGAATTTGCTGTCAGCTGAGAATTAATTGCTTCTCGCGTAGTGTCGTTGTAGTAATTTCGTAGTTGTTTCGTAGAGCCAACATACTGGTGAACTGGAGTTGTTAAAGCTGATGGAGTGCTACAGTACAAATCTTGGTTTTCGGACGACGGTTGTACATTAGATCTACGAGATGCACTACGCGCATTTTGAGGATGAGAACGATTTGTTGACTGATGACTAGGAACAGGTGGATAGTCTTTAGGATTTTTTGAAGAAAATGGAGAGACAGCCTCCAATCGACGAAGAATAAAGCATATATTAGCAGGATTTTCTTTGGTTCTGAAAATTTAAAGAATAGGGTCAGTATTTCTTCAAGTTCGCAGGTAACTAATATGTCTGGTGGATTTCACAAATTTATAAATAATCCCCATTCAAGTATTTATGAAAGGAGAAAATATGTACTCCATCGAAGAGGCAACCTCAATTTTTTAGCTGCAAAAACGATTTCACATACATTTTTTCACAAAATACATGAATATTCATAAGCACAGTTGATCATGTTAATCTGTACATAAGATAAGTCAGATAAAAGTGGTAGTGATAAGTTATTTGATGAATGGTTCTGCCAGACTGACCTTACATCAAGAGGTACAGTCGAAAATATCTAACTTGTGCTTTGCCTCTGTCAGGATCATCCAAATACTGAATCAAATGAATTCTTCGATCATGAATATGAGAACAAATACATAATTACGCTCATTTACAGAAGGTCTCACAACCTTAAATCGATTAGTTGAGACTAGTTCGAAATTAATTAAACTCAAGGAGTTAGCTACGTCTTAATTTATTCGTTACTGATCTACAATCTACCGTCTCCGAATCAACAGACAGGCTAAAAACCCATGTGTGGAAAATTATGGAACCTGTTTATTTATTTTGCCAATGAACAGTTCCAAATTAAACAGTGTGGAACTAAGAGCCAATCTAAGGCAATGACTGTGAACCAGTGAGAACTTGTGACATAAAGGCTATAATAGATTCTAAATACTGCTCCAGTGGACATTCCTTATATATTGAAGGAAGACCTAAGAAAAGTGAAGCTAAACTAACTCAACTTCTTGACCAGTTTCATTGAGTGTCTGAAGTTAATAAGACTGAAGTGTTTTTATTTCTGTGTGGACTGTCGTGAAGGTCAATCGACTGTAAGTTGAATGAGAACCTGATGTACATTCAGAACGGTTCTCTCAAGTATACTGTTTCTGTTGTTACTAAACGCGTTAGCAAATAATTTATTTGTTAGCCCCAAGTGAACACGACATAAAGGATGGTGCGTCGGGCACAGTGGTTAGGACTCTCGCCGACCATGCACATGGTCCGGGTTCGAGCCCTCGCCGACGCACACCTGATATCTATGGTTGGCCTGCGAATTTTGGGCTACCGATATCCACGCTGAAAATTCCACACTTGTACCAAAATACGGTGTGGAATCAAGCTGTAACCAAAAAAATAAAAAAAAAAAAATTATCTTGTTCTCTTTCTTTAAAAAACGTGTGTCTAGACCACATAGGATCCCAAACAAATTACAAGCACCTAACTAAATGAAATACAGATCGAAATGAGTTTTCACTAAATATTCAAAAGAATACAAGTTAGAATAATCAACTACCTTTAATGAAATCTTTCTCAAAGAAATCGAAACTAAACACCCACCATTTAGATGTGCTTGATTCTGTTTATGTTTCTTACCGATGATGATAATTATGGATTTATAATTGGGTATCATGAGAGATTTATTGGATGACAGAAAGAAAAGTCAGTCAGTTCAAGTGACAAAGACAAACACAGTTTAGTGATAGCAAAGTGGAAGTTTCGGTATACACTTCACGATGCAAAACAACTGACGGTTGGTGAGAATGTCTAATGGAATAGAAATGTCCATGAAATAGTCTGTTCATAATTTGTGCATGTCGCACTACTAATCTGAGAGTGGAGTTGTAGGCAACTTTTTTCAACGACCAGGACACTCTTCCTACCAATTAAACTTAGTTATTCATATCTGCGCCTACGTCAACATCCACATGAAAGCAGGGACATACAGCATTTGAGATATAAAACACGTACACCTATCTAATAAGCAGATCAACTTGATTTCAGCAACCACACCTTGTTTACCATGACTTCAAACTCCTTCATCCAGCTGTGGTTATCTTGTACATTTTCATCCACATTTTAAAATCCACTCTTGAATAATTTAAGATGTGCCGGTCTAATGTTTATTTGCTTCTTTAATATACAACTGTCCAGCAAAGCCTTTGCAATGCTGTGATTCACGTCGAAATCCTCAATGAAAACATTGGGTAATTGCATCCTCCTGTCGTCACGTACGTAATTGATAATACAGAGGTGTAAACTCAGAAATGCCGATTGGTTTTTCAGTTCCCCGGCCAACAAGAAACTTCGGTGCTTTTTAGAAATCTATGGGAAGATACAGAAAATAAATTGTACACACGTTGGAAGTCTTGTGTAAGTCCTTGGGAGATTGAAGTTACGGAAGAGCAGATATCACCAAAAATGACACTAACGTAACCAGCCATAAATGTAGTGACTTATGTTGTCAGTTTGGTGCTACTTTTATTTTACAAATTGTTTTAGGTTTAAAGTCACGGCTAAGGGTTAGATTAGTACTAGACTTAGATTAGGGTTCGGTTAAAGGAAATTACCCCGTTATTCAGTCAATACACTCAAGTTTACAGGTTATTAACAGATTTAAGTTTTCACATTCGTTCATGCAGGTTGGTCATTTAAAGTCATTCAATGGATGTTACTCCGTAAATGAATTCTTCAAGAACTTCCAAAAACCTGTTTCACAGTTCCTATTATTCTAAGTACACATTTTGAACCCAAATTGCAATGAAGTAGGGTGCTAGCTTTATTATATAATACCACCATATGGTGTAAGTTGTAAGCGCCAGTCTTGACAAAAATTACCGGGAGAAGTAGACAACTAACTAATAAACATTATGATTCAGGATAATGAAAAATCATATGATAGAGAATTAGAATTGACCTACTCCTTGATGAAGTTTATAATCCTCTCATCAGGAGACAGTGTGACCTCTTCTTCTCTGATGCTTGCAACTAAGGTATAGAAACCAGGCAAGCTAGCAACTTGGGCAAGTTTAAATATTACTTCCTCACAAGTTGTGCCCTCTGTAACTCCACAAACTTCCCTGAGGACTCCATCAATGTTAACCTTGATGTCCATCCGCACGACCTTGAGAAGGGGGGCAAAACAATATTGATTACAAGGTTTCGAGTCACTTTCATACTTTAATGCGAGCAGAGGATATGATTAAAATAAACTCGGAGTTTTTGAGTGACTTCATCTCATTTCCCTACCAATCTAACCAATTAGGTGGGTTGAAGGAGGCAGTAGGTTCAAAACTCGAATTGACACCGTTGATTTTTCGCGAAATGATGCTAGCATACTTTGTCCTACTGACTGAAACTCCCTAATAAACACAGGATAAAGGTGGAGCCAATTCGAAAAAGGAGATATGCCACGTAATCACCCGGAGTTTTTCCAGCACATCGTGCCGACTGAGTCAGAATTTACTCACCTTAATAGCTGATTTGTTTCATAGCCACAAATTCCTCTGACAGTTTCGGTAGATGCTATCAAACATTATGTTTTCCTCTCTCGTACACTGCCCGTCGATGTTATTTCAGTTGATTTTTCACATCAAATTACAGGAAAATGTTTCTCATTTCACCATCCAGTGGTCAGTGTTTACCATGCAGTGCAGTAGTACGTCTCAGGCACATGTCCAATTCACAAGAATGGTAAGCTGATGGGAGTTTGATTAAATTGACGAATCTCAGGCTGTTGTATCAAGTTCGTGAAGAGCGGCTCGTGCGTATTTAATTATGCAGTTGCTGACATGATCACTGAAGCCGTATGCATTTGATAGTCAGTAAGAGCGGTGATGCTGTCAATACTATAATTTGCATATGTACTTGGTCAATGTGTGCGGTAAAACTATACTACGCCATCAAGTGATTTGTTCTAACGGGTAAAAATACAGGCTGTCTCGAACGCAGTTTTGCACACTTTATATGTGCTATTGGCAATGTAGTAGAATACTGAACGATCAATCCATGATCGTTTGCTCGAAGACAGCTTCCCCATATTTTTCGCAGGGTCATCAATTCACCAGTCATCGTCCCATCGTTCGCTGTTCAGAAGGAAGATTGAAAACCTATCAGAAGTAGTATCGTGATTTACTGTTCTAATATTTGTTCTTAGACCTTAGTGCGTAATGCCAGTATTGCTGGTTATATGTTGGTGTTAGAATAAAGAATTCTTGAGTCGCTAAACAGTGTTTTGGTTTTTGCGTCGGTTAATACTAAGCGTTTCTGAAAATCTTTGAGGGACAGTGTAAGGCCCAGCGTAGCAAGAACTGTGAATTAACGGTTTATGAGAGTTGGTTGACAGTTTCTGACAGCTGGATAGTCTCCGTCCGTCCTTCCTGGTGCCGGTCAAGTCTTCTTTAAACAAGCATTATCTGGAACTTTTCGGGAATTCGGTCAAATTCGACGATGCCTGGGTCAAAGAAGGGACAGATCGTCTTGGAAGCAGGCAGGAAAGTAAGTCATGTTGACTTGTCTGGTAACTGTAACGATGTGTTTGATGATCAGCATGATGAGTCTGTTGTTCATGTTTCGCCGTCTAGGGATAATAGGCCTAAATTTGAACCTCGAAGTTTCAACGGAAACCCGGCTGACTGTCCACAGTTTGTTAAGGAGTTTGAAATTATGTTGAGTAGTTTTTGATTAAATGATGAAATGAAGTTGATGTATTTGCTGAGGAACTGCACTGGATTTGCTTCGAGCGCTATACAGTGCTGTAAGTTGATGCCCCCAACGGAGGATACTCTGAGGCTATGAGTATACTGCGTCAGTGGTTTGGAAGACCTTCGATGATTGTAAGAAACGTATTCGAGGCTATTAAAGGTAATGGTAGTCAATTACAAGATGACTCCAAGGCACTCGCTAAGTTTTTGGATAATCTGTTGACTTACAAGAATACGATGATTTCGATTAATTGCATGAGTGATCTCAACTCGAGTTTTTTCCTACAAGTAATAGCAAGACGCCTACCTATTCGACTGCAAAGGAAGTGGGTGAAGATAAGCTCCCGTATAGAGGATGAGGGTATTGAGCCACAGTTCGATGATATTATGAAAATGGAAAAAAATAGTGTGAATCAATCAATGAGCAAGTTTTCCAGTATATTGCATGCTACACCTAGGATAGAGCAGTTTGAGAGCAAAACGCAATCATTTATGACGAAAATATCTCATATAAGCGGATGTTGAGAAAGCTTTATGGTGTCTAGTAATCCAAACAAACCTAATGAGTGTGACAGCTTTCGTGGGACGTCCCCGACAGATAAGTTACAAGTTGCGAGACAAACACAGTTGTGTTTTATCCGTTTGCAAGAAGTGCATACAAAGGTGAACTGTGAAGCAGTGACCAAGTTTAGTGGTGAGCTAAATGTGAAATCAGCGTCATCAAAGTCTTACTCCGAATTGTGTGACGATAATGGTGCAGTGAAGAAGCCTGTAGTTGGAATTGATAAGCCATTGTTGAATAGGGTGTCACAGACGACACTGCAGTTTGTGCAGAAGAAGAGAGTTACAGTTTCAGAGTCTAGTTCTAACTCCACAAGTTTACAAGGTATTACTAGTTCGAGTAAAGGTATAAAACCTTTAAGGATTAGTGAGAAAGAACCCATATCATCTACTGCTGTTAATAAAGAGTTTGAAAATGACGAATTTGATCGTACAAACGGCGGTAAAGTGGATATTTGTGACAATGATCATGACAGTGCACATTTGTCTTTGGCTGATCATGATGGGATGAGGGGAATACCTACTACTACCACTAAGTTGATAAACGTTCTGTACAACTTAAACGTGAAATAGATTAAAGGGCAGATGCAGTGGTAGAACGTATGGATACTCATGAGACCTTCAGTGTAAATGATCAGTGTTTAGCCAACCTATCGATAGATGTTAATGTTAAACTGGGGCTAATAGTAAAAGACAGCATTGGTGGTAATCTTCCAGTTAGACAACCTTGTAAATGTCGAACAACAGCTTCTGATGCACCGCTTATTTCACAAACTTGTGTCACTCAGTCATCGTTGGTGTTGTCATCCATGATGAAAGGGACGCCCATGAACTCACGTGTTTTATGCTTTGACTATGCTAATGTCAGCCCGTTTGAAAAGACGAAAGATATTGGTCAGTTTAGTGAGAATAAGCCAAGTGTAAACGAAAGAGTAATTGTTAAATTGACTTGCATGAATAAAGGCATTTCTAGTTTCAAGTTACTATTTGAATGCTATTATCTTTGGTGTAAATTACTCTGTGCCTACGCTTGGTTGACCAGATACGTCGCGTGTTTTTTGGTTATCTATGTTCTACGATACAATGACATGAGCGTGTTACCGTTCAGAGTTGAGGATATAGATGATAGAAGGAGGTCAGCAAATGAACTCTGCGACGATTTTCCAACCTAAGGCGTCAACCTGAGAAGGGTAGTGGGCGTACTGCTGTAAGTCCTACAATACTTCAAGGGTAGCTCATCAAGGCAGAACCCACAACATTTGATGTATTGACTGGCAATATGTTTGTGCAAAGTAAGTGAGTGGGTTCCAATTAATGGAATTGTTGCTTGATCTTGTTTGCATCCAGACATTCCTCAACTTACAATCGTTAACCTGGGAAGGGTTGCAGGCATACTGGTGTAAGTCTTTCAATTCCTCCAGGGGATTCCATCAAGACGTGATCTGCGAGGTTATGTGTACTGTTTGTATATACGTGTGGTGTGTCATATCAATCGGTGTTTTTGGATTCATTGTGTTTACTCGTTGTATTCATATCTTGTTGTCATTGCATATTTTCGTTAAATTGTTCATCGTGCTTGCTTCTGAAGTTGTTTTGAGTGTTCTACATCCGTGAATGAATTGATTGATGTTAAGGTCAGCAGATGGGTAGTATACGCCGGGGAGGCTAGGCTATTGCTGAGAATGAAATGCACACGGAGATAATTGTTAGCTGTGGTCCCACACGCCGGGGAGCGAGAGGGTGTACGACTGAGGCTCACATACGTCACCGTTACTAGAACTGAGGCCGAATGAGTGACAAGCGATTGCAGTGGTAATTGGTAGTGAGTAGATAAGAGGATGTGCGTAGAGTATCGTGAGGTGCTGTTATGGTCACGTTGCTTTCTGCAAGAGTCATTCTAGCAAGTAGCGATTGTGTTGCAAGATGTGAAGAGGATGCCTTTAACTGGAAGGCATAGGTCGTCAGCGATGTGTGAGATTGTGCTGTGGGTATGCTTGTGGTGTGTTGGATTTCTGTTTGTTTTCCATTTCAGCTGTGTCCGTGGGACCCAGGTTCTCGCAATGGCATCCAAGTCAACGTGTATTGGTCGTGATGGAAAAAAGGAATGGATCCCTTTTTTGGTGGGGAGTGTCAATGTAGTTGAAGATTAAACGATCGATTCACGGTTGTTCGCTCAAACCCAACTTCCCCATATTTTCGCGGAGGCATCAATCAGCCAGTCATCGTCTCATCGGTCGCTGTTCAGAAAGAAGTCAGAACAAAACCGTCAGAAGTAATATCGTGATCTATTATTGTAATACTTGTTCATAGACCTTAGTTGTAAAGTTGGCTATATGTTGGTGTTAGAATAAAGAATTCTCGAGTCGCCAATCTGTGTTCTGGTTTTTTGCGTCCGTTCGTACTAAGCGTTTCTGAGAAGCTTCGAGGAACAGCGTGAGACCCAGCGTAGCAAGAGCTGGGCATTAACGGTTTTCGAGACGTGGCTGACATACATTTGGACACAATTAACCTACGCTGCTTACTTCTATGACGCATTACCTAAAGCTACCTTAATATAGTTCCGCTGAAGGTAATCTCCTACAGCTACTACCTTAGTGGGCAACTTAAAGTTATCTTTGAATAACGAAGTAAAAGTAGAAATTTTGAGAACTTTCTTGGTAGAAAGATCGTCTCCTACTCCAAAAATTAAATATACCCTAGTCTCCACAAAAACGTTCAGAGGTATTCATCCTGTCACCTCAAATGACTCACTATTTGCAGTCGTTTAAAAAGTAAAAATAAATTTACCAATGGCAGCGTGCTTATGATTCCTAGATATCGTAATATACCATGAAGAAAACGCTATATCCATGCGGTTATAACAGTCAGATGCGCGAAATTAGTCCAAAACACAACAACCACGATTCGC